AAAAACATAGATAAACAAGCCTAAATTTACCTTTGAAAGATCTTCTTGTCAGCCGAACTTCCTCTACGAACGGTCCGCCATTGTTGACAGTCAGAGTAGTGCCCAGTCCTCCTCTCCGCATCACGGATCGGCCAATAGATGTATGCCCGTTTCAACGCCCTCCCTCCTCCCGCCCTGGTTTGGATTATGAATAATGGTCCGCTTTTGTGCGTCTCCCTTGAAAACTGTTTATTCCCCAGTGTAATTAAGGATCCCTCTTCACTCTTGAAAACAATAACTTCAATGCACCACTGGCTACGACACAATGTGACAGAGATGGTTTACATAAGTTAAAAATAAAATTAGAGAAAAGGAAGGTCTGCTACTAGTTTAGTTAGCCGCTGACCGTTAAAGAACTGTAAAGACCGAGCGGAGACTGGATATAAGAGACGACGCAATCTCCAGCCCAAAGTTTTCCGTCTTTTACCGAGTTTTCAAAGTGCAAAAACTCACAAAAGAAATTTCAGTTTCACGTTAAGAAAAAATATAATTAGGGACCGTTCATTATTTATTGAAGGAGAGTATGGGTAAGAAAAATGGTGGGACCTTGAAACTGTAGTGGCCCTGAAAAAGGGGGATCTTGAAATAATTAATGTGTTATATATAGGAGAGCCTTAAAACGTAGCTCGAATCAGCTCGCAATTCTGATTGGGGATTGGGAGGGAGGGGAGGGGGACTAACGGCCACCGAAGTCGGGACTAACTAGGGGTTCTGTTCAGAGGTATAGCCTCCGGACATTTTTTGAAATCGAGACCCTCGGAAATGCAACTTAGGCACTCGAGGTTCTTTAGTGCATCCATGTTGCTGCGGTTCCACACTCAAAAAGAGATATCTTCCACTTTTTTTTCATATTTTGTTTGTTGTGCGTTTTATTAAAACAACACTTGCATCTTGTGTTTGAGCCTATTGCTGGTTTTCACAGCCGCCATGTTGGATGAATTTAACAAAAGATTCGTCAGTCTCTTTTGTTATATCATCCAACATGGCCGCCGTGTCTTTTGTTATTTCATTCTCTTAGGAATGATTGAAAACCAGCAATAGAACTTCTGGTACTTTTAAACGCAATGGAATCAAACCTCTATTTATGAACACCTGCGTTATTTATCAGTTATCCGAGGAAACTGACTACATTCGCAACTCAATGTGTGAAGCTAAACACTTTATTTTACGATGATTATACGTTTTGAATAGTAATAGTAACACAGACAAAAGCAATAGTCTTGTAGGCTGCAGAACATTTCAGCTCAAAAAATGTTGACCATCAAAAAATGATGGTTAATATGGTTATGATGCATTTACTGAAAATATGTTATATAGTTATTCACTATGTTTTTTATGTTAGGCCCCGTCCACACGTGTTCGGAAATTTTCGGAAGCGGTCTCCAGAGTGGAAATTTTCGAATACGCTCCGAATACGGATACGTGTGGACGGTCGTATCCGCAAATTTTCGAATACGATGACGTAAACACGATTTTGCGCATGCTCAATAAGAAAGACTATCCGTCAAATGGACTAGGCACTAGCATGCATCAAGAAATTTCCGGATACGTGTGGACAGTGAAACGATTCGACTTCGCTGCGTGTGGACGCGAACATTTTTCGTATCCGCAAAAAAAAAATTTGCGGATACAAGGAGTTCGGGATACGTGTGGACGGGGCCTTAGTTTCAATGTGCAAATCTATGACTAGAATGTAAGTTTATATATTCAAACACAGGAGCCAATGACAGCCGAGTCAAAGTATACATAGATCTAGCTAGTACCTACTAATTTAAAAACATTTTTAAAAATGAATTTTAGGTCCTTCCCCTGTGGAAAATCCATGCTAAGCCCCTGGTATTGGTGAAAATTTTGGCATTACAGCGCTTCCCAATCACACGCTTGTAATCGTACAATTTGCCATCGTGACGAAGTAGGTTTTGGTGGACGTCAATCAATGTTTCCATGACATTCCATAGGCCTAAAAAGTTTTATGTTTTCTGATAATGCAGGGAAACACCAAAACTCTGTTATGTCTGCAAAACGCGCGTGATTGAGAAGCGCTGTAAAATGAGGCTAACACCTCCGTTAATGAATCTGTTGTCAAGGAACACAGCGGTAGTTTACGAATTCGAAAATCGTCTAGTGCTATTTCACTGACGTCACAGCGGCTATAGTGGTGTTCCAAAACAATACATTTTCTATCCTAGGGGAATTGAACTCCATTTTAATGCAAAAATTGTGCAGAAACTCTTTTGTTTGGTACACCAATATAGCCCCCTTGTCAGGTGAGTGAAAACGCTACGTTCGTTCTTTTAGGAAACCTGCATATGATTAAAGATTTGATAAGGATCATTATCTTCGATATATCATAGGTTCAAATAATCATGGCTAGGAATGCGTGTTGATAAAAAGATTCAACTTTAGTTCCTATTTTGAATATCTTGAATTCTCAACACGGAAATGAAAATAATATTACATTTCCGAAAATTTCATAAGATCAACCATTTGCAGAAAAGCCGCGAGATACCAGAAAACTTGACTGAAAAACGACATACATTGTAGTAATTATCATCAGATCTTAACTAGCCTTTAGCCAAATTCTTTAAATGTGAATGTCTACTAAATTAAAATTTACAATCAACTACAGTGTTCAGTAAACTTTCTAACTTATAAACTTTCTAACGGCTAAATACAACAAAAAATACATAGGACATTTGTCTCATGCAGAAAAAATACTCGATTTCAGTCTTTATGAAAATACAGCTACTTTTTACAAAATAAAGTTGGCTTTATCAAATAAGATAGCCCTACAAAATATGACACGGTAATTGCTTATTGCCGGAAGTGACGTCTATTGATAGCAACCTATAAGGCACAGGCTTAGTCGTACATTTCGTGTTCACAGTTTCAAGTTTACAGTGGGACTTTAGTTGCATCTGGGAGCATAGCAATAAGCGCGTTAAAAGGTCTCAGTACATAACCATTTCCGCATTTTGTCAGTAGTAAACATGCTTGTTTTCCTCCCTCCATAAAATCAACATATGAATTGAGTGTGTTGTGTGTCGTAAATATAGAATGTAGTGGAAGTGCGAGTGGAGCAAACATCACGGAAACCCCCATAAGGGGAGTGATGGTTGTAAAATATAAGTTTATAAGTTTGCAAAATTCAAACAGTTCAGTTCATGTTTACTCGGCCATGAGCTTCACATTATATGCATCTGCTTCAAAGTAAGTAAAGGCGACATAGAAGGCGACCTTTTTACTCAAGTAAGACTGCCCAGTGAGTGGAGGCTGGCATAAATCTGCACGAAATAAGACAGTAAGACCATCGGCTTTTATTTGCCCAACTTTGCCAGTCTTCATGATAATACCCGTGAACCTTCGCAGTCGTTTCGTTAAGCTTTCGGGAATCCAACGCTGCTTTCTGACATTTGTCACGCTTTCTTCTACAGTGACAAGCTGACCCATGCCTTTGCCAGTTCCAAGGAACACTACTGGACGATCTGGATGAAGCAAGGTAAGACGTTTCATTGAGTGAACAGATTTGATAAGCTCATCACGAGCAATTTTTCTGTCGTCCTCAAACCGTTGATCCCTACCACCATCGAGAATGCGAATGCATGTAATAATGTAGCGGTAGAGATATGCCAGAGCCGATTTTCCTTTATTGCACCAGGCTGCTATCTTGCTCTCTGCAGCTTGCAACTCCACCGGAATGTGTGGCGCCACTCTTACCCAAAGGCGCATGGTAAGATCGACCTTGTTGTCATACTTTAGTGCCTCTTCTAAAAGCTGACTTAACTCTTCCGTGATTTCGGAAATTGGCTTGCCTCTTTCTTTGAAGAGTTCTAGCTGTAGGAGTACAATCTGCCGATTTATTGAAGCCGTGCTCGTTTTAGATGTTTTCTTCAGCTCTCGGAAGTGCTTTACAAGATCTGCCTTACTCTCAGATTTGCTCTGCCCTCTGAGTCTAAATAAATCTCGGCGCAAATCAGGATAGTCGGGGCTATCTGATACAGATTCCAGGATATCACCAGTTTCTGATATACTGTCTAAGATAAACTTATCAGCATCCGAGGACAGCAGGTAATTAAAAATTCCACCTTTAAAGGTTTTATTGATGTGCCAGAAAACGTCACACATCATTCTTACCAGGGGAATGTAGAATTTCTCAAGCGTTTCTAGGCAAAGACTGGCAGCACTCGTAAAGGCCTTCATTCCTTCGTCAGCTAGGTGAAATATGTCTTTATAGTCTGCTTTCCTATGAATCTGGTTCCTAACTTGTCGTCTGTATAGCATCCCTTTCATCTGTGTAAGTTGACCACGGATATTTTTGGGCTTGTCATAGGCAAGAAGTATACTTTCATCAGTATAGCGAAGAGCTGTTTCAAATCCAAGTACTCCTTTTCGCACGCTATAGTAGCGACCAAGGTGGGCCTTAAGAAAGGGATCGCCTGGATAAAAACTGATCGCCTTTTCAAAGACTCTAAGGACATCATCCCCCTCAGGAATATCTTCTACTAGCGATGAAAACCTTTTGTACGTTTTTTCGTCAGCAATGCGATTCAAAAGAACAGCTTTTGTAGTTTCCTCTTCCATGTAAGAAACAAATTCTATTGTTTTATCTGCTAAATTCCGTTGCCAGTTTTCTGCGTGAATATTGTAAGGAACAGTCAACAATTGACGTAAAATTTCTTTTCCAATGGTGTAGTGTCGAGGTCTCCAACGTCCATCTTCTTCAATGAGAAGTTCGATTGACTCAGGTGTTAAAATGTCGTGGATGGAATTTAATTGTCGAGGCTTGAGGTTGAAAATGGTGGCAAATTCTCTTAAGGGAAGATCCATTTGTGCATAATGATAAGCCATACTGAGGAAGCACAAAACATTTCGTTGACAATCATTAAGCCCCTGTAAACAATCACTGACGAATGGTCTGAGACCTTTGAACTGCTCTTCGAATGCGACCAAACCATAGTAAAAAGGAATTTGCAATTCCTCGTCCTCATGCCTCATTCTATTTAGTTCTGCCTTTTTTGCTGGACTTTGCAAACTGTAAACTTTAACAAATTGACCTCTTTCATCCTCTATCAAGGGCTTTGCTAAGTTGTCTTTTTCACTTGATTCTTGTTTCCTTTCTTGATAATGGCGATGCACAACGTGCATAAGAAGACAAGATACTTTTTCAGTTGAAAGATTTCCATACAATGCTGTTATGTCACTGTCTTCAGCCCCAGGAAATTCATTAATGTCTGCAAGAATGATTACAGGAAGACAGCAAAACTCCCATATTGCTTTAATTGCCAGAGACGTCTCTTGGTTTACTGTCTTGAGGCAGACACACGGATAGCGAAGGTGGAAGTCATAAAGAAGCTTCCTGGCTGAAGTTGTTCCTCCTGTTCCGCGTTGGTGGTAAAGTCTGAGATATGCAGCACCTGGATATTCCAATTCTTTTTTGATTACATTTTTTAGAGGTCCCCATGATTCTCTTTCAACTGCGTACTTCATTTCAATGCCATACCATGAGATCTTTCCTCCTCTATAGAAATAATGAGCATCCTCTTCACCATATTCAGGAATATTGCCAACGGCTGTATAAAGCACTTCCAGGACAGAGTCCACCCATCTTATTGAGGAAGGTAGAGTCGCCGGCATTATGTCATCTTGTCCACCATTGCTGCGTTTTGGAATCGAAAAGTCTGGATCAAGTTGATACAGAGGATTAGCAGTAGCTGTGCTATAAAGGGCATCGCACAGTTTGTTGATGTCAACTTTCTTGATATTTACACCCCATTCTTCTGCAATGTCGTTAAGTCTGCTATCGATATTCTCTGATGTTGAAAGAATTACGAGATGAGCTTCATTTTTCAAAGCAGGAGATGCTTGCACTTGGAGTTGAAGCTGATATAGCTTCTTGCAGAGAGCTTCATGCTCACTGTTACTATTCCATATAATCAGAAGTGTGATTTGACTTGGATGTCTTTTTTTCAACTGATTGAAGATTTCTTGTATCCAGTCCAAATTGCCAATGATATCTCTCTTCATTTCCGGCAAACCTTGAAGTAAGATCCAGGGAATTCCATTTGGCAAAGTAAATGAATTCTGAGCTTTTACGATATCCTCTTTAGGAGGAGGCAGCACCCGGCATGCAGGTTTTCCAGAATTCACGAGAAAACCATCACAACTTTTTAAATAGCCATTTATGGCGCTCTCACGATGAAAATCAAATACTGCAGCCCAGCGGACCAGTCCAAGTTGAAAAGTGTTGTACATTACTTCAGGACTTTCAGGTGACAGGAACAAAACAAACTTTTGGCGATTATCAAACAAATTCATTTCTTGAACCAGCTTGACATATGAGGCCTGATCACTTCTCGATACATTTAACCTGCTGGATTGTGGTAGAGAGTGGGATGGAAGTTTGCCGGATTTTGTTAGGATATTCATGAAGTGCTCTACAGCTCCATCCCATGTAAAACTTTTTTTCCATTCTAAGGAAAGTTCGTCTGCCAAAATAAAGGCTTGTTCGTGGTCCAATGTTATCTTGTCAACTTGTATTGCCCATATTGCAGCATCTTTTTCCTCTTCATCATCACCATTTACCCCCTCACAGTCAAGGGAAACGTCTTTAATACAAGACTGGAACTTTTCGTCAAAGTACTGGCGAATTGTATAGGCAAGCCCGCTATGCGCACTGATGATAACTGGAATTCCGATTGCAATTGCATCTAAAGCAGCCACTCCAAACGGCTCCACTCTTGCAGGTGACAAAAACATCGTGGCTCCTCGAATATCAATGAACGCTTCTTGACTGTTGCTATTGATTCGTTCGTTTAAATCCACGTGATTGCGATCAACCGCTTTCAACACCTTTTTTGTTGGATTCACAGAAGCACTGGAATCTGTGTTACAAACGACGAGAGTGGATTTTCGAGGCCAAATCTCTCTCTTACTAGATTGATTAACGGCTATAACCGCTATTCTCAACCCACTTGTGACAGGTGAATCAAACTTAGCTGGTACAAAACATCGGCACTGAGGTGATGAGATGCGATTCCTTTTGGTGAGGTCTGGAAGTCCTGGCACAATCTCAATAACTTCGCGGTTTAACAAGGAACTCCATTTTTCTTTTAGTAGAGTACCAATTACAGCTACGAAATCTGCGGACCTTGCTAATTCTTCCTCGTTGCACTGTGGACTGGCTTGCACATTGTCAAATTTTGTACACTCATTTGGAAGGTCATAAATGATGTGAACCCTTGGACATGATGATTTTTCGGCATAAAAAACAGCTGTAGGGCCTGTCAATTTTCCATAACCAATTATGAAATCTGGACGAAAGGGGAGCTGCTGATCATGCAAAAGTTGTGGATCATCTTTATTGATTCCAGGCTTCTCAGTGCACTGAATCAATTCAACATTTCCCTTTCTTGCTTCTTCTTTGTCCAGCTCCGATGACGTAAGAACTAAACAGGCAACTCTATGGCCAGCTCGAGCCAACCCCAAACAGAACTCACGATTTATTACTGGTGCACTTTCCCCCCATCCTTGCCACTTGGTACACAATGACAAAATTTGCCTTTGCGGGTTGGGGTCATGATTACCTGGAAGTCAAAAGAGTTCAACTTCCTAAATTGCATAATTGCCAAAGAACGGATTTAATGACAAATATACATACCTGAAGATTCGGACTTCTTCAAATCTGTAGAATTCGTACCTTTTTGACACTGAAAATAATTGAATTTATAATATAGTATAATAGACCAGTCTCGAATTCCAAATTACCGCTGTGTTCCTTGATTACAGACTCATTTACACAGGGTTAGCCTTGTATCAGTGTTTAAATATTGACAAATACCAATGGTAAAGTAAAGAATGCACAACTTCAACAATACAAACACTTTGAAACTCGACGGACCTTTCAGTGGAACACGTGAATATTCTGCACAAACTCGAGGCTAACCCTGTGCAAATGGGTCTGTAATCAAGAAACACAGCGATAATTTGGAATTCGAAACGGGACTATTGTTTATGAATATATAATCATTCACAAAACAAAATAGCTAAGTAGTTTTAAAATTTTGTTACTATATTGTCATACCTATATTGTTATTTCCTTTTGCATACGTGGTAGCTGATGTTGGAGCCGTTAGGCCGAGGAAGGGGGGGGGGGAGAAACTTTACTTCCCAACGAAATATTTCCGAATGAAATATAAATGAAGAGGATTTATTGGAATGCATGTCTTATGGAGGTAGATTCATGTACCACATGATCACGTTAAAGTAGCATGCATTTTTAGTAGCGTTTGATAGAGAAATTGGACTTGGAAGCGGATGATCGATCAGGAACGTTAAAGATAAGTTCACTAATGCAAACCTGGACTACTGCCAGGATTATCTTTACCAATTTTCAGTGTTTCAGAGCTTTGAGAGTTTGAAGAAGTTGAAAACTTTTCTTCATATTTTGCCCATCTAAGAAATTCGAATGACGTCTTCACGATATTAGTAGGCAGCTCTATACTAATTATAAACTAATGCATAGAAAGGGGATGCGCGCGAGCAATGCCCCTGTCTTAAACCACTCCGCCGCCATTTTTTTAAAAAGTGAGTAGTTTCTTTAACATACCTCCTTTTTTGCTTTTCGTAATACTTGGTTCTTTGTTATGTCCCACGTCTGTCTTTCCATCTCATCGTTTTGTGTTTGTTTTGTATCTTCCACAGTGTTTTCGTTATCTTTGCCTTTTGTTAAACTTGAAGAGACTCTCTCCTCCTCCTCCTTCTGGTGAGATGGCAGATCTAGAGTTTTGCTTCTTGCATTACTCTTTGTCTTTTCCGTTTCCAATTCCTTCTTATTTGTATCAGTGTCCTCTGTCAACTCCTCCTCTTTACTTTGCGGCTTTGCACTAAAATTATCTTTCTTTGATTGCAATGACTGGGGTATTACCTCTTCCCGGTTCTCATGGTGTTCCGTTTGAGCTGCTGCTTCTTCGTTTGCATCAGTTATTGGAAGTCCGGCATTAGAGTTTTCATCTTTAGAAGTGGAACCTATAAAATGCATTGCAACTCTTTTTATTGAAAATCAACAATCCCGCTTTCTATGGAATGAAATAACCTTAATTTCACACTTCACACTTACGCCTAGAAACCCATTTACAATACCTGGTTTTTTTTCAGCTCTCTTCTTTCGTCTATATTTCTTTTTCTTGTTTCTTTTCTTAGCCTAAAACAAAAATAACAGAATGATGAAGTACTATCCGAAATGTAAAAATGAGGAAAGTGTTCTGAAATGAAACTTTTTCAAAAAAAGACTCAGCATGCATTTACTGACATTTTCAAAAAAAGGTAAGAAACATAAATAGCTTCTATTTCCTGAACTGTCAATACTGCTTTTCACCTTGGTATATTCTAAAAACTTTGATTTTGAGTTATCAATCAAGGATGCAAGGCTCAAATTTGAATAACCCTTTGAAAGTACCTTGAGCAGTGAGGTCATTAATAAAATACCTTGCTTAAATCTTCTTTACTTGCGCCTGCTTCAGCCTGAATATTTAGAAAGTTATTAAGTCAATGAATTTTAAGCAAAATCACTTCGAAAACAATTAAAAAGAAACATGTTCTTGCTTTTTTCCTCTTTTGACCTGTTATTTTTCTTTAAATGCTAATATAAGGTGACATGTTTCAATACAAATTTTGTTATAAAAACCATTAACGACAAAAACAACTCACAACGAGACTAATCATTAAATAGAATAGAATAGAATAGAATAGAATAGAATAGAATAGAATAGAATAGAATAGAANAGAATAGAATAGAATAGAATAGAATAGAATAGAATAGAATAGAATAGAATAGAATAGAATAGAATAGAATAGAATAGAATAGAATAGAATAGAATAGACAATTGAATAGACAATTGAAACACAACCTCTTGTCCTTGTACATTATCTTCTTCTGTGCAAGAACCTATGAGTAGAATATGTCTTGTCAGGATTTGGCTAGAACTTATGACATATGGGTGCCATGTTGGTTAGCATTTTTAAATTATGGAGAGTAGGAAAATGTATAACCTTTGAAACTGATATTCATGACCTGTGACCTGTGTCCTATCATAACAGGGCCCTAGAGAAGTTAAAAGTATTGGAAAGGCTTTCAGGTTCTCAAGCCACACTCATAGGTAATGAAAGACAGTCAAACGTTCATTTGTACCACAATCCTAACCTAACCCTAACTCTCACCTATTAGATGAAATTGATGGTAATCAGGTGGCTGTATATTTTATGAATCACTACACAGCCAGCTTCATAATATAATAATGTATCTTTTTACACTAAATTCTGTTGCCTCGTGCTACATATGACATTTTAAATCCCAGGTGTACTCTTGCCCGTTTTGGGTAGGGATGTGCCGCTGAGCCCTCTGAACCCTGACCCTGTTCCAGAGTAAAATCCTTACCCTGTTCCGGTATTGCGAAAATAGATACCTTGTTCCAGAGAAGAATCGCTGAAAACCATATCCTATTTGCCGGTACACACATGTATAGCGAATATAGGGGAGTACCCCCCCCCCCCCCCCCCCCCCCCTAAATATTAGTCAAAGCAGTTTAAAAATTATTGGCCCTTCCGTCCCCTTCTTCTATTGGTCAGGAAGTCTTGAGAATAAGAAATAAGTAAAACGTCACGCATAAAATACGTACGACGAATGACGTACGACGAATGACATTACGCATAAATTTAAAGACACGCATAAATTATGAGTAATTTTAGTTATCGAAGCCAAGTCAAAATATATTAAACGGCATATCATGCCTTAAAATATTCTCATCAAATCAAATCTAGTCAAGACTCGGTTCGACACAGTCGTAATATGAGCATAAACAACACTCGTAACGCAGCTGACATAGTAATCCATACCGGAAACAAAAACAAAGACGAATAGGAAATTCATATCAATATTGCAAGCTTCTGAAAATACTTAATAATGACAAGTTGCTTTGCAATAGTTGCTATATATATAACGTTTTTAAGAGAAACTTCGCAGCAAAAAGATTATTATTTTACATTTATGGCGCTTCAGAAGTACGCACCCTTATCCGAAGCACACTTTATAAAGACTTCAGATTGTAAGGTTTCTTTACTCTTTCTTCTTGACTGAAATTCGTTTACTTTCAAGACAAGATCACTTCTTTTTGCCTTTTCTAATAAATAAATCAAATCTGCCAAGTCATCGACGCCGAGCTTTTTTTGCTTTTCCAGGTTGCGAAAGAAATCTAATGCATCAATCAGTACTTTCTTTTCAAAGGTTTCTTTTGAATTGTCGGGACTAGAGTTTGTAGGCATCAAAAACTTCATACATGCCAGCTCATCGTTTGTTATTTCCTGTGCAATTTCAAATAGAAGCTCTCTGTACTCTTTGTCCTTCGGATCCATTTTCTTTGGGCAAATTTACCCTCTTTTAAACTTTGTTTTCTCGAAGTTTCATGTCACCATCTTGCTTAAGCTGACTGGCCTAGTATAGCCCATATAGGTTAATTCCAGTTAGCTTGCACCTAAATATATGGCAATTTATCTCTTTGTCCTAAGTTATCTTATGTGATATTTATGGTGCTAAATAAAAGATTGTCATATTCTATTCTATAAACTCCGGGAATTTCTTATATCATTTCCCAGAATCCTTTAGAACATTTAAATTATGCAAGATTTAATGACTTCCAAGAAGCTAAAAATGCAAATGCAAATTGATGAAGCCTGAACTGTTAACAAAAGAATTCCTATTTTTAATCGTATTCATTACATTCGTGGATAGAGCTCAAGGTTATCAAGCGAGGAGAGTGCGATGCCAAGGAACCTTGATAGACATTCGTTCATTAGCATAACGAGCCACAGCGAACAAACTTTGCAAACAGCAGGGGGTACCAGTTGAAGGCAAAAAAAGGAAATCGATCTTGAAATACAATAGTAATATGCGGTTCTCATGACTATAAAATTAAATTTTGATTTTATTCAGTATTAAAATTATATTATACTTAATATCTGTTCTCTATGCTTAGCTGGTTCATCAAGCATGAAGTCCTGGCCTGATTTGGTTATTTTGTCGATGACAAATAAAATATTTTCGTCGTTCAAAAATGGTGGTTTAATTCGGAAAGATTGATATTTTAAAGAGAATTATATTAATAATATGATAATATATTAATAATAATATCTAAGATATAATATTTATTAGCAGCTTAGAGAAGAAAAGTTATAGTTTCCCTCACGTAAATACTCCGAGTAAGATCTGGCCACGGGAACGGCTGGGTTCAAACGTCACGACATGGTATAGACCGTTTTCTCAAGGTTGCGTGCGCATCCAACTTGACGGGTTACAAAAGTGAAAAACGCAAATTCAGTAAAATTGAGAAGACAGTTTTACATTGAAAGAGGAGAATAATTGATTTTATGAGTTCTTACCGAAAAATCTCATAGGAATGTTTGGTAATTCTCATTAAAACTTGTTATCGAAAAAAATTCATAGCAATGCATGATAATACTTGTGTTCTGGTATCGTGGCCCGTCAAGTTCCTTATATGTGGATGCGCACCCAACCTTGAGAAAACGGTCAATTGGAATAATAGCGCATTAAAGCTATGTAAAATTTGAACTAATTCTTTTATAAATATGTGTTATTATGCCTTGAGGTACTATTCTTTTAACCTTGCGTTACCATAAGCATTTACAAAATCTGCCATCGGAGTCGGTTTTGCGGTATCGTTTATTCAAAGAATGTATAGAGACCCCCAACTAGTCGACTGCCCATCGTTATAGTGTGAACATAGCCTGAAACACCAATCAGTTGGAGGTCTTTTGGTTGCTAAGAGCGTGCAGCTCGTTATGTCATTTATCGAAGGGAGTGGTGTGGGGGGGGGGGGGGCGGTATAGGTGAGAAGTGGAGGGCTTCAAATTTTTTTTAAAATGTTGGAAATAAAAAGAGGATCCCGAAGACAATTGAGCATGTAATGGGGGAAATGTCTTTTCTCTTTCTCTTGGGATTTGTGGATCCGCTTCCGATATATGAGATATTTTGAAACAAATCAACGACAAAGACCGTAGCTGGTGGGAGGGGGCAAGTGCCCCACCTCTCTGACACGCGTGCATGTCTCTGTACTGTAATATAAACACGTTGGAAGCTGCAGAGCACGAGAGAACCAAGTTTAGTAACACGAATCGTGGCCGAGTGTTTAAATCAAAGTCAGAGAAATAATAATAATAATAATAATAGTAATAATAATAATAATAATAATAATAATAATCGTCAATCAAGGTGTTTCCATGACATTACAAAGTTACATGATTTCCGATGTCATTGTTTACCAAGCCGGACAAACTAGTGCAAAGCCTGCGCGGTCAATTCACGTGACTATACTGACAGTCCTGTTATGACGTAAAAACATTATCATTTGGAGTTTCGTGTGTCTAGTCGATTTATTTCCTTTAACTCTATTGATTATCTTCGTGGACTCTACTGTACTCTTCAAAACCTTCCGCAAGACAAAAAAACCCCTACTCTCCCCAATTGCCACCTTTACCCCTCACCTCCACCCATACGAATATAGATTCGTTCTTGGTCACTCAGTTATTAGGTGACACGACAAACTCGCTCTTGTGACGTTAATTTGGAAACTGAACGAACAAATATCAGTGTCAGGATTTAAACCTTTTTTACTGTCAAATTAAAATGTAAAGACAACGATCAGGCATAGTAAATGGGAAAATATTAATCTTGTTACGAATTTAAGTGGTAGAAAATGCGCAAAAGATTTCAGGAGTAATAATGACGATTATGGGATATCACTATAAACTAACCATAGATCTTAAAACCCATAAAATCTTTCATAATCTGGGAATGAAACTCAAACATCTTTACTCCAACATTTGTAGCAAAAGATCTATTTTGTTATCTGCGGTAGAATTCCATTGTGATCTGACAAAACTAAAATTACCAGCTATGCATAATTTACGAATAGGTGTGTTAAAGAAAGATGCCTGTTGGATAGCAGTGAGTTTGAATTATTCACTATCGTACTCAGAGGTCTAGCGCGAAGAAGAAAGACTGGTCTCTCTGTGGGAGAAATAGAACGTTCTTCGGCAGACACACAAGCATTGGAGACAAATAAGTAACAAGAAGAAGAAAAATAATTCATTAAGGACCCTGACACCTTCAATAAATGACGGCACAGCTCTTATAATTAATCAAGAATGCAATTACTTTGAAATCTTTTTTATCTCCAACTTCGAGGGGTTTAAAAATTGGTGATGTTATCAGTATTACATATATACGGGCCGGGTGAAGACACCAGCGATGAGGTGTGTTCTGAAAGTGATCTTGTGAAATACGACATCCAAGATAAGCAATATCGATTTATACCATGAGTCAAGATTGTTATAAGCTGTGTTTCACAGGGTGATTCGTTGTTTTTATCTTACGTATTTTCCCCCGTGATTCTTGTCCGTGTTTTGAGGTATAATAGTGTACATTTGGTCTCAGCCATACGCACGTCTTGTTGACATGATCGGTATCTTCTTTGACAATTGTAAATCTTCCTGTGTTTTGCTGAAACCCGCAGAAATATCTTCGCATCATAAGTACTCCAGTTCTACCCTTAAAAACTCGATTTCAAACTTCGATTTTTCAGGAAAAAAGGATGGAGAATTTAGTATAAATATTATTTGTGTTATGAAGGAATTCTGGTTTCTATTGAACGGTGTTGAAAGAACGAAGTGCGAGAATCGTCACTCTGTACACCTGTCTTCTCTCCAAGCAGAAAGCAATTAGAACTCAATTACCTAAGCACTTTGCTATTGGCTCAGTCCAAATCTCAGTTTTATAGTGGCGATGCCATGATCAAGGGTTTGGACTTAGTGCTACACAATTTACCACCACGGCGTACTGTTTCTCCACGTCGGAATATGCAGTTGGTGTTCGGGCTCGGCGTGGAGCTTCCAAACCAGTTTACTAAAATCACTTAAGAATTGGTGTCAATTAAAACGAGGGTTTTACAGTTACAGCACGAGAGGACCACCTTATACAAGATTTCAAAGCCTGCAGGGGATATATATCAAGATGTGCAGACTTCTACGCCTCGTAGTACTTACTGTAGTCCTGAATATTTTCACTGTATTTGGGACTGAAATCACTTTAAAGGGACAAGAATACTTGACCTACAGCCTGAAGGGTGTTTCTATACCAGCGGACAAAAACTTTATAACATTCCGATTCAAAACCATCCATCCATCAGGATTATTCATGTACAGTCGAGGCAACTCTGATTACATACAACTGGAGTTGATCAATGGTGTTCTCAAGTAAGTTGTTATCAGATAGAACTATAGGCAAATGGGTGAGCTGAGGGAGTGACGTTAGATTGGGGTTTGGAGGCTCTTTTGTGAGAGTGGTTAGAGACTCGGAGATTCAAGGGGAATCAAAGTGTCTGCGCTATTGTATTCAGGTTAATAACTCATAGAAGTGCGCTGTAAACTTGCCACGCTTGTGTATTGTCTTAGTTCATCATTACTTAGCAATGGACAGTCTATATAGACTACCTCGCACACCCTTATACTGACTTATATTAAATCTTTTCATTGACTATTCCACTACCATCAACTAGAAATACTTATCCATAAGAACATTAAGAAACATAATAAAATAACTAACTAACTAACTAATAATAGAATAATAAAAAACTGGTTGCTACGTAACTGACAATTTAATGCGAAAGTTTTTGTCTCGTAACAAGGTCATTCGTCGTCCTTTGGTTTCAAGTGATTAGTAAAACCATCATATATGCAAAATCTTAGGTTTCTTAAATTGGGAGCATAAATAAAATGCGAGTAAAAGATATAACATGACTCAAATATTTTCAAGCGAAATTCTTTTGTAAATAATTTGATTTTTAAATCTTGTACATAACGTCTGATTTGGAAAGAAATAGTGTGTAAAAGTAAAAAACAGCGGCGCTGAAGGAGAGTTACAATCGTCTGTCGATCATTAAAATCATTACCAAAAAAACAGATGTCGTGCAAGGACGGAAACAAATGTAAACAAAAGAAAGATACTGTTTATGCGACCAAGTGGTTTAAAGTTGAGCTATTTTGTATTATTGGAGATAATAGTTAATAACGAAGAGATAAAGAAAGAAAAGTGGTGGTTTAAGGTTTTTATCCAGTGATTGGGAAAATACACCACAATTGATTGATTTTAGGATGGAAAACAAAGGGGTTTACCTTTTTTTAAAAGATGAAATTAGAAAGACTGTTTCTCTTTTATCCTTTAAAAAAAAGTAAAAAAAAAATTCCTTCCTTAAATCAATCATTTTTCAAAGCCTTAAAAACCTTTGACAAGTAAAGATTAAATTTAGACTGAAAACAATAATCATACGGAATATTACAAATCTAGATTTTTACTTGAATTGCTTTGAATTATTTCTAGTTCAAACATGAGTAACTAGCTGATACTCGTCGGTAAATCATCGCAAAAACACCGAAATTTCGACCAAATTCTCTTTTAATTTGACAAAGATGGATGTTGATTTAGAAGGAATTGTTACTTCTATTTGTTTTACTTCAAATTGCTCAGATAAAAACATCAAAAGAGTTGTACCGATGTTCAAGCCGCTCTGATTAACGATTTTGATTTTGGAAAAATTGGATTAATTTGAGATATGAAAGCGTTCTAATTTTAGCCATTGCTACAGCGAGTAGGTTTCCTGACGACGATAAGTTTGGAACACCTAGAGATTGTTATTGTTATCGTTATAGTGACAAATCATAACACTTTGACGCCTTACTGATTTTTGTTCCCTTCACATTTGAAGAAAATAAAGTACAATAGGAATTCTCACACTCTTTTCTAATTCACCATTTTCGCGCTAATTATCACGTGGTATAAATTGTATTGGATTGTGTTACGGTCACCAAAAAAGTTCTGACATTGTTCTCGGATTTCGGTACAAATGTTCTGGCTTTTGAACAAATTATTCACCTTGTTTGTCCATCTGTTTCTCTAAAGGGCAGTTAAAAAAATCTTTAATCGAGTTAGAAAAATGATATTTTGCTTGTAGTTGGGGAGCTAACTAAAAGAATCAAGTAAATAACTTTTTTTTAAAGTCAGTGGCTTGCAGTGCATTGTGGCACTGTTTAAGGGGACATATTTCCAAGATGGCGTCTAAAACAGCCCCAAAATGCACTGAAATCCCAACTCGATCCAGTTTTTCCCTCAACTTCGAAATTTCTCCTTTGGCAAATAAAATCTCTTGTCATTCAAAAGCATTTCATTGGTCATGCCCTGAGGCTGCCGCAAAACCTTTCATATAAACCAGCATGCCCGTACATTATTCAAATGTATTGGGAATGGTTGAAAACATCCTATAGACCCCTTGCATGTGACGTCAAAGCAGCTCAATCTGGGGAAAAGGAAAATAAATCTAATCTCCTGAGAATTGGAAACCTATTGTTTTGTCCCCCAGATGGAACTGCATTCCCATGTGCTGCAACTAATAATATGTTGCTTCGCATGACCAGAATATTTACAGATCACTAAAGACAATTTGCCACCATATGAACAAGAAGTCTCTTTCTTGCCACAGGGGACCCACATGCAAGAAAATCATTTTATCTCTTGCTAATAATTAATACCACTTATTTCACCATTATCAAAAACAAATACGATCGTGTCATAATATTTAAACACGACAAAAAACGAGTGAACTGAATAGAGCGGTTTTCGTATGAGTGGGAACATACGGTACTGACTTACAGCACGTACACGGTACGACGTGCCGTAACATTGAAACAGCTTCCCATAACAATGGTTATCGTATAAGTGGAAGACGCATAGTTATGTCTACGGATACGATACGACTGTAGCACGGCTACGAATTTGCCGTATAGTTTCCCACTTATACTAAAAAACCGCAGTATAATGCGGTAGTGAGTCAGTAGATTCCAAAGCGAGAGATTTAAGTGAAGATTGCTGTGATGTTTAAAGAAATGTCTTGTTTGCACTGTTTGATCAAAATCTGTCATTTTCTCTGATTAACCCAATTTATGTTACGCCTCAAGATTTTTGCCATCCAATATAAAGTGCTTCTTTCTCGGGTTAGTGACAATCGCGGTTTCTTGGCTGATTTTTAGTTGGACTTCAATGCTCGATCACGTAATACTGAGTTTGGATTGGTTTGAGTCCTTATTAATAAGCAATACGTTTCCAAGTGTAAGTGTTTTGTGATCAGTGGTCGCGGTTGAGAAATCCCGCAAGATTTTGGTGCGCTTTTAATATAACAAATGGTTCCCACCTACAGAGCTATCTGCATCTTCTATTCACTGTCACGCTCGCGGGTTGAACGAGATTATCATTATTTCGTGATATTTTATTTTTTACGGGGCGAACAAAGTGGTAGAGTTTAAATCTTTAGCTCGTTTTAGCTCTTTTGCATCGTTCGTCGAGAAACACTCAAGAAAGCAAGTTAAGCGGTCCACAACCGATCATTCTGAGGAAGGGTATATTGGCTCGATCTTTTATCTAACTATCGATCGTTAAATATTCATGAGACCGTCAACAAATCATATCAACGTATTATCTATCTTTGATACATGATGATTTAATCTATAGAGGGGAAAATACTCTAAATATGCTACCCGATCTTTCTTACGTAACCAAGTCGAAGGTTGAATTACAAACAACGAAAACAATGGAAATTCGTCTTAAAGTTATGAAATGTGGAAGTACACATTATGCGTAACACCGTGTAGTAAGCTTTTCTCACGCTGGATCTAACCCTGAAACAACCTCTGGGCTGATTTAAGCCAGGGCATGGCTAACTCACAGATTGCACCCTGAAACAACCTCCGGGCTGATCTAAGTCAGGGCATGGCTAACTCACCATACAAATTTGAATTTAGAATTCATTTAGAATAAATGTACGATTTTGTTTTTGTTTTTAGGTACACATTGTATCTTGGTGGAGAAGAGAAAACAGAGATCCAAGCAGGCAAGGATTTATTCAACGGAGTATGGCACACGGTCGAAGTCACCCGCAAGGGCAGAAAAACAATGCTAAAGGTTGATTCTCACACACCAACCACTAAACTCATCCCAGGCAGCTACGATCATCTGAACCTCAACACGTATATATACATAGGAGGAATGTCTAATATAGAAAAACGAGACTTTGGAATCAGAGCCCTGCAATATAGAGGCTGTCTTGCAGATTTTCAGTTTGATAAGATCAAACTTTTAACAGAAGCAAAAGAATCTAAAGAACTCTTAGTGAGTACCTCGCCGTACCATCTCGTAGGGAAGATCCCATTTCGATGTGAGCTTGAGGACTACAGACCTGTGACTTTCATGACGCCTGAGTCATACGTCAAAGTCACGCTGCCCAAGTTACCTCAGGATAACGACACTTTTTCTACGAGTTTCAAGTTTCGAACCTTTTATCCTCAGGGTCTTTTATTCTCGCGCAGTGCAATCAAGGTCAAGATGAATGTCCGTCTGCACAGCGGTAAGCTGATCTATGACGTCACTGCGCCCAATGGATCGAAGGCTCAGATTAAACTTGGCAGCGGATTGGACGATGGTGAATGGCATGATGTGAACGCCACAATAAACCCACCTAAAGTACAATTGACTCTTGATGAGTTTTCGAGGTCTGGGTTTCTGAACATCTCGTCATTGCTGCTGGATTTCTCGAATAAGTCCCGGATGAAGATTTTCGCGGGAAAAGGAGGTCCAAATTCTAAATTCAGAGGGTTTGTAGGCTGCATGTTGAACTTGAAGGTCGATAGCCATAAGATTATTAACAAGTACATGAGGAAACAGCGATATTCTCATGGAGTGGACATCTCTAAGTGCGCGACCAAGAATCGATGCTTTCCCAACCCATGTAAGAACAGAGGAATATGTTCACAGGATTGGAAGAAATTCTATTGCGATTGTTCAAATACGTATTTTGAAGGAGAAACATGCGAGAAGCCGATATTCAAGGCCACATGTGAAGACTACAAGAGTCTTGGTCTTGATCGGGATGCGCATTGTATATTGAGTTCGGGTGGAAGCAGCGCTAAAGATCGTTATACCGCGTTATGTAACGTGACGGACCCGCAGCGTGCGTACACCGTGATCAGACATAACCTCGACTCAGGGACTCACGTGAACCAGGGAGATTTCACCATCGGGATGTACGTCCACAAGATCAATTACCACGCTGCTAGTATGAAGCAAATCATCGCTCTCATAGATTTGAGTGAGCATTGTCGCCAGTACATCCGGTTTGACTGCATCAAGTCGAGGCTGTTAAACTCGCCCAATGGTCCTTCTCACGCCTTCTGGGTGTCACGTGACGGGAAGAAGCAAAATTACTGGGGAGGCGCAACACCGGGCAGCGGTAAGTGCGCATGCGCAATGGGAAAGGATGGGAAAGGAGGGAATCTGTGTACGAATCCTTCGAAGTTTTGTAACTGTGACATCCGGGATAATGAATGGAGGATGGATGATGGGTACTTGGAAGAGAAGGATTTACTTCCGGTCACGAGTGTAATGTTCCATGAGAAGAGCGCCAAGTCAAAGTTCGTGCTGGGTCAGCTGGAGTGTTGGGGCAAGAAACAGGATGTGGTTACCAAGACAACAGTGAATAAACTCCTCGACAACGCCTGTTATCCTGTCGTCGAGCCGTCGACACCTGCACCGACAACACAAAAACCTACCAAGTCATCGGGCACGACAAAAAAGCCTTGTGTACCAGGTCACGACTGCTTTGATGACGGTGTCAATAAAACCACGCTACTACCTTATCACATGTGGACCAACCCCAAAACCTCGCCCAGTCAAACTACCAATGATAATAAGAGGCTTGTCTTGCGGCAAGACACCTCCAAGAAAGATAGTTCACTGGGCATCCCTGCTATTGTGTTGATCGTGTGTGCCTTGATAATCCTGCTACTGTTGGTCATGAAGTTTGTCCTACCCAGGATCGTTGCATGCGTTCGCACACACAGTAAACGAGGTGAATATATCGTACCACCATCCGGGACCGGATACCCGGGTCGACTAATGCCCCTGGTGGCTAAACGATCCTCGGGAAGGAATAGGCAGTTGACGCATTCCGAGACACCGCACATAGCGAACGAGCATGGTGGTACTAATGCTAGTGGCGGGATAAAGTCATACTGGGTTTAACCAGCACGTGTTGACCACGTGTACTGACACGTGAAGGGTGTGGTCAATATAGCATAAGCAAGCAAAAAAAGGATCGAATGTAATGCGGTAATATTAGCAATTGCGAGGTTGTAGAAACACTGTGCCGAGTTGGCATTACAGTGCATTGTGGGAGCTGTTTTAGGAGACATTTCCAAGATGTCGTCCATTTCGTCCACTCAAATAGTCCCACAATGAACTGCAATGCGCTCGACACTTTTTTCCTTTAACTTCGGAATGGCTCATAATTAGATTAGAAGAGAAAACTAGCTAAAAACTAGTGAGAGCTGCTGATAATTAGATTAGGTCAAACTACCAGTTTACCTTTATCGTTACCATAGCAATTGATTCTATGATGACGCAATATTAGAGAAAAATCAGTTCAGAATGAAAAACTCCTACTTTGATTGTTAACGCAATAGCCTTTGATACCAGCTATGTCACACAAGGTGCACAATCCCTAACTGGACGAATAACTATAAAAGCGGCGCCATTTTCTTTTCTCTTGATGCATTAGTTCGTGAGATTGTGACGTTAATGATGCTGAGGTCTATTCGTGTGTATGTTGAGATAAACCTGGTCATGATAAATGTAGATATCCTTAGAGAAATGTCGCTTTGCTTTTAGGTTTTCGAAAGTAATTTTTTTCGGATTATTTAAAATAGATCATTACACACAGCAAATTATATTTAACACACACACACACATACAGACGTTCACGAGAATTTAAAAAATGTTAAAAAGTAGGTTCATCATTGACTACATAAATTAAATTTGTTAATATCGTAATTTTCTTTCAGAAGTGGCGGGGCGGTTTGGGGTGTGGGATCGAGTTCTAGGTTTTTCTTTCCCTCAAGTAAACAGTGCGTACTTACAATTTTCAATCAAAGTTGAGATCCCAAATAGACGCTTCAGTGTGTTTAACAGGTAGCATACCATGACCAATGTAGTACGCAGTCCTACTCAATGATGTCAACGGCACTCTTCCATCTTAACATGTCGGATAAGGACTCCTTCACTGTACAAAGAAAGCAGATAGGATCAATAAGTTCTAAATCTAGCGTTCTGATTGGTTGGGAGCGCGTGCCAACCCCCGCGTGCTTTATAACTGCACACAGCACGCACGCGCGTTTTTATTTCTTCAGTATAGACTGTTTTCTCAAGGTTGCGTGCGCATCCAATCTTGACGGGCCATAAAACGGGAAAACGCAAAATTCGGTTGAATTGAGAAGCCAATTTCATATTTAAAGAGGAGAATGATTGATTTTATGAATTATTATCGAAATATCTCGTAGGAATATTTGATAATTCTCATTAAAAAGCTCTTGTTCTGGTACAGTTGTCCGTCAAGTTTCTTAAATTTGAATGAGCGCGCAACCTTGAGAAAAAGGTCTATTCGAAGGATCTATTTAGATATAGCGCACGAATTCGTAATGAGCAGGGAAATGCGGGCTATAAAGCCCTACGAAAAACGAAGAAAAGCAGATAACAAATAATTCTAGAACCCCTTGCAGAAACTTTAGTGCAGCTCAATTTGGAGGACGGGCGATACAATGGACTTTATCCTGATGAGAGTAATCGTAAGGGGGGGCCCCTCCTCCCTCCCTCTCTCTCTTGCCCCCAAGCCCCACACGGCCTCTGGCACCCAGGGTAAATTGTAACTTTTGTCATTCAAATTAAGCAGTGCTTCAAGGGGTCTATATAGTTATAGGCTTTAGTTGTAATTTATAGCAACATAGATTAAACAGGAACGACGGCACAGAGATCGTTCTTTTTCGTGTGCGCCGTCGTCTAAAAAAATTGTGTTTCTTCAAACGACAAAATTGTGTGGCTTTCTTATGTCCCGATAAAGAGATAAGGATGCGCAAGACAAGACGAAGACGGCGCGCGTGCGAAAAACGGGAGCGTCGCCTTTGGGGCGTGTAGTCTTGGCTTTATCTGTCTACTCAGTACGGCACAATTACAACAGTTTTCGTATAAGTGGGGAACGATACGGTAAAGTCGTAGCCGTATCTTATCCCTCCGAAATGTAACAACGCGTTGTGATTCATTCGATGAATTATTGGAAGACAATGGGAATTCGTTTCAATGTTACGACTGGTCGTACCGTGTACGTGCTTTAACAGTACCGTATGTTTCCCACTCAAACGATAACCATTCTTATGGGAAGCCATTTCAATGTTACGGCATGTCGTACCGTGTACGTGCTGTAAGTCAGTACCGTATGTTTCCCACTCATATGATAACCATTCTTATGGGAAGCCAAATAAATGCTACAGCATGTCGTACCGTGTACGTGCTGTAAGTCAGTACCGTATGTTTCCCACTCATATGATAACCATTCTTATGGGAAGCCATTTAAATGCTACAGCATGTCGTACCGTGTACGTGCTGTAAGTCAGTACCGTATGTTTCCCACTCATACGATAACCATTCTTATGGGAAGCCATTTCAATGTTACGGCATGTCGTACCGTGTACTTGCTGTAATTAAGTACCGTGTTACCCACTCATACGAAAACTGCTCTAAACAGATAGCACTGCGCAATCGGGTATCTATAGATTTAGTGATGATTCGATGATATTGACAAATGATGGAATACATATAATAACACAGGACGATAATCCACAAGTTTGTATGATATAAGTCACAATAAACCTCATTTGCATGCTATATGACGTCAGAGATGAGATGTGACGTCATGCCAGTGTTGTCGTTAGTTCAAAGCTAAAGATGTCGCGAGAATTATACGTACTGTATACACGATGACATTGACCGTGCTATGTGAGCATGATTTTTCACAATGATTCCACATCGGGTAGAGATTTTTGATATGAACATTGTCTATTGAACTTTACTGTATCATCGACACCAAATTAATTTGAACAAAATAATAAAAATGTAAATGACAAAATATTTAATAGTGAATAAAGTATGATCTCTGTATAGAGTCCTCTAAGTGTTAGTGTAGCTTACTACTCACTGGATTTAATCAGATAATAAAGCTTTCTAGAAAATACATCAATGGTGTTATGATTGACAATACAAAAGTTCAGCAGATACTGACATTAGAATATGGGACATGTGTCAGATGCAACCACACCCATGACGTTTCATTGTGATTTTTCCCATTTCAGACCACGTGTCATTCTCTTGAGAATAMGATTCTTTGTTTGAGTTGTATYCATATTCATGTGTCTTCTTATGTGCAACCGTTAAACAAAGAAATAATACTCAAGAAAATGAGACGTGGTCTGAAATGGGAAAACATTACGCCCAAGATAAAGAGGTCTATTTTGACAAATTTCAGTACGTGAACGTTAAATTCCCCGCTCTGTCCTGGGGACTAGACTTTTGGTTAGCGCATGCGCATTACGAATCACGGGGAACTGGGTCCGAGAGTAATATCGCTGAACAAACAGACTGAAGACTTAATGATAAACGCAGTGTTATCGGTTATTAGACTCTCTTTTTAATAACAACACGACGTGTGTCAAGGGTTGTCGCTGATTCAAGGCATTTCTATAATTCATGAACCCAAACTGACGAAATAATAATGTCTGAGAAAAAGTGTTATCATGTCTAGAACAACAAAAGATCTTTTTTAATAAGGGAGAATTAAGAAAAATCAAAACACGGGATGAAATGTTATGAGGTTTATGTGAAATGTGTTGTTGAACTGAAAAAGCGAGGAGAGTTTCTCTTCGATTTCGCGAGTTTTGGTAAAACAAATGAATTTGAAAATATGATGTCGGATGTCATCGAATAAATCAAGGTTGAATGAATTAATTCCTATTTTCATTACGTACACTATCAGTGCTATCATAGTGATTTTAAGTCAGTATTTTTGATATCAATGTTTTACAATACTTCGTGCCCTATTATCGACAAAGCACCTGCCTCAGTCGTCACGTGACTACCGCCGCCATCTTGGGTTTTTTTTATGCCAGCTTTATTCTAATGGTGATCATGATGTTGAAAACACAAAAACAATTTAAGAGAGAGCTACAACAAAGGAATTCAATGTCTGGAGAGCTATTCTTTAACGTTCTTATTTTAAAAAAACTCATTTGCTTTGTTAGAAAAATGAAGAAAATTGTTGAACAGCGTCTTGAAGTTAGGAATGCTTTCTTGGATGTTAAATAGAAGGTGATGAGAAAAGAAAAGAAAAAAGAAAGATATAAAGGAAGAAATATTTTAAACTAGTTCGATGGGTTAAGATTCCCCACAGGAAATCACAGACACGACATAATTTTGGATTATTTAAAAGGCTTTTAGCGATGGTGACAGAAATAGAATGGATTCCAAAATTAAGTTTGTCTAGCTAGATATACTATTAAAATAATCATTCCTGTGAAGATCATTTCAAACACACAAATAAAATATTAAACTGCTGTGAGTGTGGGGATATTTAGTTAGACACACACATCTTCTACTCTGTGTTCATATACATTTTTCTGTAAATTCTTGGGTGATTCTAGAAAGCCATAACAATGCTCGTATATGGAGAAGACTGGTGGTGGCTGGATCGAGAGGAATTTTAAATGTAGGCTCCACAGCTGCTTTGGGCTGAGGAAGTTGTGAAGGGCTTTGATAGATGATATCCAGAGAAAAGGAGGAATACTTGTGAGAGCCTCTCTTAGGGGGGGATTAAATACGACAAATGGAGATTCCGATATTCGTTCATCACCGCATTGACCCCATCTCGTTAAAAAGAATCATGCTTTTAACAAATATCAAGTTAAGCTATGTTTATAGGAACAGCGTTCTAATTGGCTAAGATGGGTATTGCATCAAAAGGATTGTCCAATCAGGACAGTGGTCTATTGTTTTTGTGTCAGTGTGAAGTACACTGATGGGCAGCTAATTGGGTTCCCGTGCTATGGGGGAGGTAATTAAGAAGAACAAGAGACTATAGTAGCCATTTATCCTGTTTGCAGATCCCAACTCGATAACAGAGTGAGAATTACCTTTATTTCTGCACTGGGGCTTAACAGGTATTATAGCTCGCTCCATACGGCTCTTCTCTAAAGCATCCCCAAGGCGTCAAAGCGAGAAATGACTTCACATCTGGTCTTAGTTTTTCTGCTCTTAAGTCCACTTGTTCTGGGAGTTTCCTCATCGTCAGGTTTCGAGGTGAATTTCAAGGGACCTCAGTTTATATCCTATGATCTCCGCTCCAATCGCATCACCGCCGAAACCAATCAAATTTCTTTGGAGTTCAAGACTTTCCATCCTTCAGGGCTGCTGATCTACAGCAGTGGGACCCAGGGAGACTTCATTACACTGGAACTCATTCAAGGCAAACTCCGGTAAGAAAGCGGTTCACATTGTTTTTAATCTGTCTCCTTGAACTTTCCTCCCTTCTCCCCGACCAAGAGAATAGCGATAACTATTCTTCAGTAAAAGGTTTATGACAAGCTGCAAGGAGCTGTACTGACAAAAGTAGGCTCGTCTTCTTGTCAATTGTTGATAATAGAAGCGTAATTAGCACCAGCCAGCTAGACAACTGAAAAGAAAGAAAAACAAGATCACTATAGAGGTGACAATCGACCCGAACCGAAATCAAAATAATAGAAAATACGACTAATGCTTTTATAAACCAGAATTTTTTTTTCCAAAATATTTGTCTCTTCTTTTTTTTTTTTTTTTTTTTTTTTTTTTTTCAGGAGTAAAACTTGACAATTAATTGGAAAAGTTTTGAGTTTGTGCTTAATTAGTTGATTAACTGTTCTATAGCATTGAGAAGGATCAATATGAAATGCTTCCACATTCACTTTAAGATTCTATATTACCTAAAATACTTCATACATTGAAAGATCTGTTAGTGGCGGCGAGATATGGAAACTCATTGTCTTAAGTAAACAAGCTTTGTAGAGCTCTCCGGTATGACGATCTAATAAATAAGCTTCCAGGCGGAAATTACTGGGAATTTCTTGGAAATTTACTAAAGATCGATGGTTAAAAGAGAGTAGAACAGGTTTCGATCGCGTCTAAAAATTGTAATGACTATCGTACATGTATGTTGCATAAACTCGATTTCATTATATGTAACTAATCTTATCTTGATTTAGCAAAGAAAATACTTTGAAATGAAAAAAATATATTTCCTTTGAATTCCTTGATATCAAAATAAAAAAAAATTAATGGGAGTAACAAAAAAACGCGAAGAAGCATTTCAGTTTAGATAAATATATAATGATGTACTACGAATAACTGGAAAACAAATGGAAATCAATGAAAAAGAGTATACTAGATTTGTTGTAAAATAAACCTTGAAATAATAAGACTTAAATGTCGTTGTTTTACAAGCTTGAAAATTAGATCATAAGATCTGAAGTAGTTGTAATTGAATCAGGAAAAAGAAAGGATGAATTCCGGGGTCCCAAAGCAGGAGTTTTATACCATATGATCGCTCAATAGTGTGTCGGGGGTATTTATTGTGTAATGTAATCATGTTTAGTTGATGGGGGGACAGTGTTTTTATCCATGGTGTAAATGAAATGCTATCACAGGATGTCAACATGCCGGACTATTTAGCACATATTTATCTCGCCAGGTGAGAGTGCTAAAATCTATTTTGTACACGGTAATTCAGCTAATATTTACGGTCCTTTGAAGTTCCCCCGCGGCGAATTAAGAATTCTGGATTAAAGTAACAAGTGTAAATGGTCAGGTTTCGTTTTACGAGGATAAAAACCCATGATATGATACAACATGTATTATTCATGGAGGATCTCTTGTTAGAAAAACTTGTTTATTAGCGAGATTAAGACCAGCAAACGCCGTGACAAAAGAATTTCAACACCGTGGACTAGAATTAACACCTGTCATTGTAACGCGACGCAAAACATGGCCTCTGGTCTTTGTTCGTGTCATCGGGAAACATTTTACATTGATCTCTAAATAGTTGTTCACAAAGATCTAAAATTTCGTCGTTATTTTACGTCAATAAATAGCTAATTGCGAATAACGTTTTTTGATTTGCGGTTTTAGTTGGAGCACGAAAATCGGGAAAATCAGCTTGGTATTCATATGGAATTTGGAAAAAAAAGAGGTGTTTTTCCTTTCTTATTTATATCGTAAGGTAAAAATAACGGTGCAGGGAAACAAATTAAGGGAAAAAAGAAGCAAGGAAATACAAATAAAAGCGTGTATAAAACGAAGAGAAAAAGAAGGAAAAAAAACAGGATAAAAGGAAAAAATGTGGAATAGAAACAAAGCTTTGGTGTCTTGCAAAACGAAGGATGGGATAGTTTTGCACACAGTATGTATACGAGATTTTAAACTTTTAAATCAATTAAAATTAATTGAAATCTCCAGAAATAAGCTCTCAGGTGCCATTTGCGAGCTTTCTTCTTGATTGGGATATCGGTAATTCGGATTCAAAGCACACAAGCAAAAGGTTGACTAGCGGGTCAGTGCCAGGTTAGAAGTCTGGGAAACCAAATGCAAACAGCCTGGAGTATTCTTATCGTTCCCGCAATAGTCATAAAAGTTTGCGCTCAAATTTAGTGGCTTCTGAAAGGTGTTGAGGATAAGCTTGATTGATCGTGTTTGAGTTATCAGATTAATCTGATTCATTGGCCAAGTTAAATGTATATTTTCTTGATTTTAAGTTTTTCTTTAAATTAAGATTGATACCGAGATTAATTAGTCGTCTTTGGGGGAACTTTTGTATATCGTATTTCAACAAGATATCTTTATCTCGAAGTAAGATGTATTACTTAGTATTTTTGGTTTTGAAGTAATAAAACCTCAATTTTTGTTATCTGAAATTTGTAGAACAAAGAAAAATATGAGTCAATTGATAAAACTATGATTTGATTATAGCAATAAAAGAAATAGAAAAAATATGTGATCTGTGTTTGAACCAATACAACAGGTGTGTTTCGTCGTGAGATTCGTACAGAAAATTATCCAAAAATCGCTCCCGTACAAACTCAAAATTAAAAATAGATTCGTTAAAATTAAGATGCTTCACTGGAAATAATGATGATTCTTGCGAAAAGTTTGAAAAAAGATTATATGAGAAATCCGGCGCTATTTCGAATAAACAAATAGTATTTTTGACTTTAATTTAACTGAACGATTTTACAATGAAAAAGATTTTTTTGCTTTGAAGAGAGAAGGATAAAAGATTAAGAAAGTAAAGATAACTTGGTGAATAATTCTTTGTTGGTGAAGAGACGTAAAAAGGGGTTCCAGAGAAGCGATGGCAACACTTGGAACGTGACTCAGAAAGTGGAAAAATCTGCAGACAAATTTATTTCCATTTTTTTCCCTTCTTAAATGTATCATTGAGAGCTACGTACGATATCTTTACCATGGAATTTATCAGATGTTTAAGGAATTGTTAGAAAGTAGAAAATCTGAGTGACATATTTGTATTCTACAATTTTAGCTCACTTTTGCAGTTCAAGGATCCAGAAAATGTGTGTTGAAAAGAAAATGAAGAAGAGCTGTTATAGAGCAGAAGGGTGTTGAGTGTGGAATAAATAATTCTATTTCGATAAAGAATAGTATTTACCGCTCGAAGAGGCGAGAAGGGTTTAACAGTAGACGCGTCCCTCAGTGGGAGGTCATTCAAACTTGCTTCATAATTCAGGATGTTTTGCAATTATACTTTCATTAATTAATGTGATATCGTACAAGGTGCGACGTACACTGAACTGCAGTTTCATTACAAAGAAGTTTAGAACTTGATTTTTTGCGGAGGAAAAGAAACGGGAAAACCGGAGAACCCGGAGAAAAACCCTCAGTTCACAAGAGAAATGATAATAATAATTCAATACTTATATGGCGCAAATTCGCATGTGAATAGAAACTGGCAACGAACTACTCTTCCAATGAACAAAGGTTCGTTGTTGACAGTAAGAAACTCACAAATCCGGCAGAGTTTTTGCAAGTGATCATATTACACGGCACGGCACGGTGCAGTTCGTTTCTTCCTCACGTGAAATCTACTCAACAAGTAATAAGGAACGGACCATTAGATAATTGAGATTCCCCCAAGGAATATCGAGCAAACTTTACCTACGCAAAAAATATCGCGCAACCTTTCCTTTCAGTAAAGAAATACTGAGCAAGCACGAAAAAAGTCTCGATCAGGGGTTGATTCAAAATAATAATTACAGTGCAATATAAATTCCTGCTACCCCTCCCCCCTCAATTATCTAATGGTCCATCCCTGAACGTGCCACGCCCAGGATAACCAATACTACACTGTTTGTTACTGCATCTCATTTTCGAAATTTCCACGAGAAAATTTCTTTTTTATCTGGTGTGATTTAGCAGTTATTTCTACATCTTTATTAATAATTCAAGATAACTGGGTACGCAAAGCCTTTAGACAATGTTAATCAAGCCATCGTGGCGCAGGTCTCTAGAGATATTATTATGGGTGTTCAATTGAAGTTACTTTACTCACTCACATGATCTGATAGTAAAACTTCTGGCTGTGAGTCATCAGAAGAATTCTGATAGGGATGACACTTGCATTTTCAAACTCGTTCGAATCGAGTTAGTCAATCAGAAGGAAAAACAGGAACTATTGACGGAGTCGAACCCAGTTTAATCACTCTAGTTGAGGCACTCAAGAGGAACAGCTCGTCGCATTCCTGTGAGTCTAGTGTCCGCAATGTTATTGATGTGATAAGAACTGCGTTGTTTGTCTTAAGGAAACATACTTTTGTACCCGACACAGCTGGCAAGGTAACCAGGAAGCTGTAGAAGCTCGGTTCAATAATTCGACAAGTTTCAGCTGCTATAGATCGTAATGTAACGTTTCGACAGTTTATAGTGAAAGAAATTAACAATGCATGATTATAAGTTATTGAGATTTTGAGCTGCCAATATCTATCCCGTATTGGCTGTAGTCGCGAAGGTTCGGCGTAAAGATATTGCTGATATCATTCAGCTCGTACCAGTAGTTGTCAACGTTTGCTCAAACTTTCCGAGAATACGGAATATCCTTTGAAGTTGTTACTGAGCTGCAAAGGTGTGAATCGTTGAAAAAACTTTTAACTTTCAACACGAACGCGAAAATGATCTTTTTATGGATGTTTGTTCTTTTGTAACGATTTCTTCACTTTTCGTACTTTTCGTAATACCAAAAACAGCTTTTTTAGTTTCTAAGTAGTTTTTTTGTGTTGAAAAAGGATTCCTTTGGCAAGAGTGTGAATCGTTAAAAAACCTTTTAACTTTCAACACGAACGCGAAAGTAATTTTTTAAATGAAAAGTTTGTTCTTTTGTACAAATTTCTTCACTTTTTATACTCAACAACCGTATAGCAAAAAATCCAGCTCTTTATTTTGTAAGAAGGGTTTTTTGTTGTTGCAATAGTATTCTGTGATAAGGCTGTTTATCACGTTGTTACAGTGAAAGCTAGCGTGAGGTGTGGTCAGGCAGGTGCATATATCCTATCTTTTTCGAGCAGATAACCATCTAATTCATTTCATCACATAAAAGCTAAGGTAAGAGATAAGGATTATGTTACACACGACTTGTCATTGTTTTGGTCTGAGATAATTATTGATAATGATAAAGCTCTCGACCGTGATCAGGATGATTATGACATTAAAATGCTATTGAAGTAGATGTCAATCGTGTGCTAATCAATAAAGACTCTTATGACTGTATTTACTGCAATTTTCATAAACATGCGAACTCGATAGCTGCGAGATGCACGCTGAAATTTGGTTTTTCGCTGCTGTCAATCAAAAAAAATTTGACTGGCGACGGTGAAAAACCAAATTTCAACGGGCAAATCGCAGCTAGACAACATATAGAGGATGAAATGAAATGGCGATGTATGATTAACTGGCGTTGAAATTCTTCGTTGTGGTATTAGAGTATTGCTCATCAAACAAATACTTGTTTGACAAGCGGGGCGTTAGTTCAAATCTTAAAACTATAGCATGGAAATATAAAGTATAATATAACCCTTCATAGTTCCCTGCTCCATCTTGAAAGGTTACCATGCCTTTGCATTAAAGCGAGAAAGACGTTTACCTTGCAATGATAGATACATGTGAAAAATTATGGAGGTGTTCAAAAATTGTATCTATTATTGCATCACCGTTCGTCTCGCTTCGATGCAAAGGCACGGCTGCCTTTCAAGATGGCGCAGAGAACGGTGAAGGGGACGATTGAAATTTCGAGAGAGAAGGGTATCCAGTAAAATTTTACCTTTTTTTGAAGTAGTGAAACGGTATTTTGGATGTAACACTTCTTACTGTTTGTCTGGGGTCATGAAATATCAATCTTCTGAAGGCAGCTCGCTCGGGGAAGTGCTGCATGCCACTCCTCTAATGTACCGCCAGCTTCCCTAAGTAGAAGATTATATTTTTAGTCACCCTCTACTTTCCCATCCCCCCCCCCCCC